AATAATAATAATAATAATAATAATAATAATAATAATAATAATAATAACAAATTAAAAAAAATAACACCAGACATTGGCGACTAGACTTCCTTCGCCAGTCTTCATTTTCCAACCACTGAGATCAGGATTCAAATGCACTGGAGAAATGAGAAAATGAAACCCAGGACTGAATTACAAATCTGGGTGTCTGAAAATGCCAAATCAGACGTAAGGTGGGGGCCTCCAGAAGGGAATCCCACCCAGCCTGAAACTTATTGAGCTTTTCCCAGAAGCGCTGTCCCGGTTTAACGTGGTTTCCTTGCTCCTACACTCCGGCCTTTGCTTTGCTAGCAGGGACAGAGAAATAAACTCTAAATAAAGAAATAAAGTGTGTAGACTGTTCACCTCTATTTCTTTTTTTCTCCTGTGGCTATTCAAGACTTCCTCCACCTACACGCGACAGGAAAATGAAAGAGCAACCCTGTGTATGCACAACCGCCCTCTTGGAATGTTAACTCGTGTCATGAATTCACAACCGTTCAATGAATGATAGCTAACTAGGAGTTTCGGCTGAGGTTTGCGTGTCAGCCTAGCTACAAAGCAAACCAAAACAAATGAATAAAAAACTACGGCGACTAACCAAGCCTATTCTGAGAATGCACCTGCTAAGGTTTTTTTTTCCCCTGGAAACAGCCACTGAAATCTTGGCCCGCGGGAAGTGGTGAACGCCAGCGTGGAAGAGGGGGTGGAAAGGACGGAGATGCAAAGTGAGACGAGCAAACACTGCCCACACTGCCCTCTACTAGAAAGGCCATGCGTGGAGACAGATGTCCTTTGCCTTTCCAAAGGAAATGGCAGAGCTGCCCCCCAAAATAAGCCCCTCGAAGCTCTGCTTTGGAGATCGCGCTCCTATCCTTTTTTTTTTTTCCCCTGGAGGCCTGTTTTGAACTCCTTTTTACGTGGATGAGGCAGAGGATGGCAAGGGGAAAACCACGACCGAGCGTCGCACCCACACCGACCCGGGAGGCAATTCCACAGGATATAACGAGGCTTATTTCTGGGTCAAAGTGGGCAAGACCAGACTGTTTCAAAGCATCCCCACCCCCCACCCCGATTTCTTTTGAGTCAAAGTGTTGCCCATTTCACCCACCTGCTCGCCCCACCCCAGCTTTTGTCCCTACAGGCCTGCCCTACCTCCGGTTTTGATACCAGGTTTTGACCTGGGTGTCGGTCAGATTGAGGGCGGCTGCCAAGTCCATGCGGTCTTGGACGCTGAGGTACTTCTGCCTCTCGAAGCTCCTCTCCAGTTGGTTGAGCTGATGGTCGGAGAAGGCAGTCCGCGCCTTGCGAGGCTTCTTGGCCCTCACCGGGGGGCTGTCCCTGCTGCTGGAAATCTCACGGTCCCCCTCTTCTTTTGCCCCTGAGAAGACACAAAACAGAGAAGGTTAGGGGAGAAAAGCGTGGGGGTGGGAGTAGGACTAACCCCACGTGCACACACACACACACACACACACACACAAAAACCTTACTTAAGCCTGAACAGGACCGTTCCCCTGTGCGGGAGTCTTCTGGATCCAAACGGATCGTTGGAAAAGACGGCTTAGGAACCAACCTATTGGTTCCCCTAGGTTGCACAAGGCGGCATGTAGACCACAAGTTGCCACAGAAATAAATTAGGAAGCTGGCAATTCAGCTTGCAATTCAAGCACTGAACAAACCCAGCAGAGGGAAGAAGTAGTACCCTTTTTCTGGAGTGAGAACTTCTCCTTCCACACAACTTCCTAATAATATCCTTTCCCCCAGCCCCTCTACCGGAGGGGATTTTTTTTTTCCTCCGCCGCAGCCGCCTTTCCTCACTTTCTCCCTCGGCCAAATTCAGATTTCCAAATGCACATCTGAGACGGGTTACGACCAAGCCATGGCAACAGCCTGGGTGCTTTTCCTGGAGTGTTTGTCATCCAGGTACATAAAAGAGATCCGGATTTCACAATCTCAGGTGACAGCGGGAATATTATCGGATTTGGCCTGGAATCTTTGAGTCTTATTTGGGGGAGATTTTTTTTTTAAGCTGTAATGTTAGGAAATCGATACGTCAGTCCATCTGTGTTTGTACGAGGTTTTTCTCTACCACCACCATCCTCTCCCCCCTTTCCCCCCTTCCCTCTCTCCCCCTCTCTTTCTTTTTTTTTTCCTGTGCTCTCCTTGATCTTCCCTGCAGGGAGAACAATAATCTCTCTAATTGACCCACTGGGGAGGTTGGTGCACCAACTAACCAACAACAACCACCACCACCCAAAAAAAAAAAAAAAACCTTAGAAGAAACTCCGCATCTGGTTCTAGACGCTCATATGTTAGTGCTAAAATGGCAAATTGAATTGGAGTCCTATTAGTTACTGCAAAATATCTGAAGGTTGAAAAATGAGTGAAATACGTCCTCTCTCATCACAACGTTTAAAAAAAAAACGCCTTTCCAGTTAAGTGAGATTCCCTTGGTAATGGGAGGGGGGGCGTCTTTTATTTCCCCCCAGGAAGTGGCAGAATCGAGCACACCATGTACGTTTGAATTTTAGAACGTAACTAAAGTATCACACAAAAACCAACGGCTGTAAAAATATTGCACAGTGCTAACTCCAAAGGAAGAAACATTTCAAGGAAGGAAGAAACCAGAACAGAGAGGGAAAAAAGGACCCCGATTGGATTTGGTTTGTTTCCCTGCTTTAAAAAAACACATTTTATTATAAATTCTTTAGGAGGTCTGTCCTGCTAATTAAATGTTGCTTAAATCTGTGAGAGCTATGTTTAGAAATTATGCATGCAGATCGCATGTTATAATGTGCATTTGCATTTTAAAATCTCTAGTAATCCCAGCTGGCATTTTTGGTATTGTTGAAGTGCACACTTGCAGACTCTTTTTGTTCTCGTATCAACTTTTCTTTTAAGGGCTGGGATACGGAGCTTCAGTTTGAAATATATATTTAGATGGATGGATGGATGGATAGGATAGATTAGATAAGATAGATAGATAGATAGATAGATAGATAGATAAGATAGACAATTATACTTATATGAATTGTCCATTTATATGGATTGTCTAATAAAAATTAGAGGGGGAACAATTATGATTCCTGAGTTTTTGCAAAATAACCTGGTTGTGTTTATCGTTTTCTTACGGGACTTAAATTTTATTTTTGAATACTTTCCAGGTTGCTGGAGCCTCTTAGCGAATTCGCAGCCCAACCTTCCCTTCCAAGTTGGCTCGAAGTTTTCAGAACAAGCGATTGCTTGAAAACGCGTGGGGGGGGGGGGGGGGGGGGGGAATGAAAACAACCGCGAAGGTTCGAAACGTAAACAATAGAACGCTCACCACCGTTTCGAACCCGGCGCGCTCGCGAGCGTTTCGAAGACCCCCCCCCTCCCCAGCCGTCCCCAACTCACCGTGGCATTTCAGCTCATTCTGGGCATCGTCGCGTTTGTCCAGCTTGGTTCTGCTGTTGTCGTCCTGCTCCAGCTTCGGCCTGAAACTTTCGTTGGCCGAGTTGCTCTCTTGTTTGGGCGTCGGGTGGGGAGAGGAGACGCTGGTGCTGTAAGGGGCGCAGGCGGCCAGCGGTTTGCTATCTCCCAAAATGTCTTTAATTAAAAAAGAAGACGTGGCAGTCCTGGGGGCAGAGCTACACGAACCCAATTGCTGTTGCTGCTGCTGTTGCGACGGCTGCAAACTTTTGGGCTGTTGCTGCTCTGCATGTTGGCCGTGGTGAAGGTGGTGATGCTGAGGCGACAAATGCTGCTGCTGCTGCTGCTGCTCGGGGTGCTCGGCGGTGACTGAGATCGGCGAGGAGGGAGCCGTGCCCACCGTGTCGATTTCCGAACAAGGGGACGGAGTGGCCCGGGTGAGGAAATCCGCCGCCCTGGCCTCGCCGTGGGCCGTCCGAAAGTCCCCGTTCATCATCGCCGGGCTGCCGGACCTGGGATTAGACAAAATCGTGTCGATTCCAAAGCTGGAAGTGCTAGATCCTTCCATGGTGTGGCCGTTCAAAGAAGCGCCTTCATCCCCCCCCCGCTTTTTTTTCTCCCCCCCCCTCCCGACGCCGTTCTCTTTGCGCGGACTGGGGAGGGGGGTGTTTTTTGCGGGGTTGGCGGTGGAGGGGGAGGGGAGGAAGGCGAGGGCCGTCTCTAAGGCGATCGATCGACGATTAAAAGGCGAACCACCAACCCAATCGGATCAATTATGGACGAGGCGAATCTCTTCGATCAAAATTTAAATGGGGAAGGAGGGGGGGAGGGGAAGGAAGGAGGGAGGGAGGGAGGGTGAGGAAGGAGGGAGAAACGAGGCGAAGGACGAGGAGACGCGCACATGCACCAGGCGCACGCACGGGAGGAGAGAAGGCGGCGGAGGAGGGGGGGGGTGTGGAGAAGCCAGCAGGAGAAAAGCCGCCGAAGCCAGCCAAGAAAGGAGGAAGGCAAGCCGGGAAACCGATTCGGGAGGAAGACGCCAGATCCGCCGCGCCAACCCGGTTGGGCTTCAGGCCCCGAAGAGGCTCGCTGGCTTTCGCTCTCCTCCGCCCACACGTGGTGCTCCGCTTATTGTTCAGGACGGCCGCGCCGCTAGGGCAAGAGCAGCCGGCATTGCCTGGATGAGCCGCCGCTGCCGGCCGGGGAAGCGGCTGCTGAGGCTCTCCCCCCACCGGGCGGAGGCTTCGCTCTCGTCCCGGCCAAGGACCACCCGGCACCGCTTGCTTGACGCTGCGCCCGATCGCCGGGCTCCCGGGCCGCTGCTCTCGCCGGCGCCCAGGAGTTCTTGAACTTTCTTGGAAAGTTGAGGCGTGGCGGAGCAAGGCGAGGAAGAGGAGGAGGAGGAGGAGGAGAAGAGGAAGAAGAAGGCTCGGCGGCTGCCCTGCTCTCGCTAGCTCCTCTCGGGTTCCTGCGAGTCCGCTCGTGACGTCACGGCCATCGCCGCTCGCCTGCTCGCCGCTCTATATCCAACCTCTTTTAAGGCTCGGGATTTTCCCCCCTTTTTAAAAAAATATATATATTCCTTATTTATTTATTTGTTTGTTTTATTTAAGGCCGCCGTCGAGGAACGGCCTCTGATTGGTGGAGGCGGCGGCCGAACTTGACGCCTCGGCGGTCGGCAGCCAATGAGAAGGAAGAAAGGGGAGGGGAGGGGAAGAGGGAGACCGGAGGGGGGGCGGGGGGGGGCTTGTGAGATTCGGGACTGGGACTGTTCTTTTTTAGAACCTTTAGGATTCCTCCCTCTCTTTCGTTCCCCGTTCCCCCTATCCGAATGTAAATGGGTGGTTATCATCATCTCTGGCATGCCAATGGTCATCTGTTTGGTAACAGAAATCAAGGTAGGGGGAGAAAGGAAGAAAAAGAAGAAAAAAAAGAAAGGAAGAAAGAAAGAGAGGAAGGAAGGAAGGGAAAAAAAGGAAGAAAGGAAAGGAAAAAGAGAGGAAGGAAAGAAAGAAAGAGGAAGGAAGGAAAGAAAGAGAGGAAGGAAGGAAGGAAAGAAAAAGAAAGGAAGGAAGGAAAGAAAGTAAGAGGAAGGAAGGAAAGAAAAAGGAAGGAAGGAAGGAAAGAAAAAGAGAAAGGAAGAAAGGAAAGAAAGAGGAAGGAAAGAAAAAGAGGAAGGAAGGAAAGAAAGAGAGGAAGGAAGGAAAGAAAGAAAAAGAGAAAGGAAGGAAAGAAAAAGAGAAAGGAAAGAAGGAAGATTTAAGAGAATATATCCGTGTAAGAAAGGGAGTATGCGATATTTCGAGCTGTGAAGTTTTCTATATACGGGGTCATTACAAAAGTAAATATACCTATCTCTTTCCCCAACTGGGATGGCAGTTAAAATGCAGGGTTTACTAAGGGCTTCTTCCCGCCGCGTCCTTTGGAAGATCAGAAACGTTTGTCACCACAGTCCTCAGGCAGGAGAAGCGGTCCAACTTCACCGAAGAACTAGGGAACGAAGTGCGAGGCCGGGCCAAACGTCTCCCTTGGAGCCAACCGGGGCCGAAAACGCCTGGCTTCCTTTCCTAAGGGACGGGGAGTGGAAAGGGAAGCGGCTCCTGAGGGGGGTGGGATGGGAATAAACCTCGGTCTAGACCCGGACCGCCTGCTTATTTGGAGAAGACGTGAAGCCAGGTGGCAGGACGGCAGCGGGCAAGCTGGGTGGGTCTTCTTCCTGCACGAGAGACTTGGGTCTGTGGCTTAGTTGCAACCACCGGCTCTGGGTCTCCATCCAGAGCGCGGTTTTAGCCACCCATCCACCCATCCATCCGCAACACACGCACACCTCTCCTTCCCCGCCTCTCGTTCTTGGTTTGTCTTTGCCCGGTTGCTGTTTCCAGCGCCTCTTCTATTTGCAACCGACCCAGTTGAGGGCCGACACGCCGCGCGCACTTCGGGAAGAAAAGGCTCGCAGCTCGTGGTTCCTCCGTCTCTAGGAAGCCGCGGCGGTTCGAACCTGTCCCTTGTCGAATGTCAGGGTAATGGGAAGCGCCAGGGACAAGACGCCGTATTGCTCCTCCTGATTAAGTACCGTCAACCTAATTAGCAGAGCAATTATAAGGTGCTAATGAATGATTCAAAGTTCGGCGTGTTGTCTTTTATTCCGAATTACGCCTTTTTTTCTTTTTCTTTTTTTTATTTTAAAGGCACCGAGGAATCGAAGAGGGAAAGCGAACGATCCTGCAAGGAAAGCGCTTGCACCCCCTTCCCTGTTTCCCACCGTCCGCCTTCTTTTCCTCCAGGCTGTGGTTCCTTTCCTTTCCTCCCACAGCAACGTGTCAACCTTTCGGTTCCAGAAAAAGAACCGAACGAAATCTATTCATGGAAAATTAGATGCGTAAGGAAGCCGTGGGGGAGGGAATTCCATAATAATAATAATAATAATAATAATAATAATAATAATAATAATAATAATAATAATAATAATAATAATAATAATAATATAAAAGAGCTGGAGAGAGAGAGAGAAAGAGAGGGGTGGGCAGAGTTTCGCACCTGCGTCTTTGCGAGTTAAAAGAATGAGCTCGGAAGTTTCTCAAGGCCGGGAAAGGTAGGCAGGTCAAGATTTAGGAGAAGGTGGAATCGATGAAGTTTCAAAAGACACCGGACGGTTTTGAAAGATTGTTCTGACGTTCCTTGGGTTGGCGGTGCGGGTCTGGGTGTGTTGTAAGAAGGGAAGACCAGAGAAAAGGAAAAAGCCTGTGGAAGAAAGCAACACGCCTGAATTGAGGTTTCGAAAGCGAGGGGGGGGGTGTCTTGGGTGTCAAGGCAAAGCGGCTTCAGACGACTTCGAGCTGTTCGTGGAGCCCCACTGCGCCTTTTGGGGTCCATAACTTGCGCCCCGCGTTCTCCCCCAGCTGACACCCTCCTCTCGCGGGCCAAGCTGAGAGAGGCTTGGCGTTAGAGCGGGCGAATTGCTGGCTGCGGCGCGGGGGTGGATCCGCCGGGAAATTGGGCATTGCTGCCCCTTTGGTGGTATTTGGCCGAGAACAAACAAGTGGTAACATTCAGAACTTTACCCTTTAAAATGATTTTTTTTTTAAAAGAAAAGATGAAGGGCGGAAGTTATTGGGAGAGGGAAGAGACGCAGAGAATTGCAATTTGGCTAGAGCAGCGTGAGTCTTTTTCCCCCTTTTCAACCCTGAAAGATATATAGCCAACGCACTTGCTCTTGTGGATCGATTTCCCTCCGAAAAATATATATATGTTTTTTCCAAGTAAGGGTTAGATAACTAAGTAAGGGTTAGATAACTATGTTCTGTATTTCCAACGTGACTTTCTTTCCCCCGTTGGTCCAAACTGAAAACCGTATTTAAAACCGTTCGGTGTTGTCCCTTCAGAACTAAATTCTTTGAAGTAGTCATTGCCTGGGTATAAACATTTTCTTTTTGGGAAATAACGAAAGAAACAGGCAAGGCAAGAGACCGTAATTCAATTGAGAAAAGCGAACGGTTGATCTGCCACCCATTCCTCTGTGCGTTTGTTTTAAAACAGCATCACAGGCGATTTTGCCTTTCAGACTCTGAAGATATTAGCAATGTTGACATATAGAATACCTCCTTCAGGATGGGAACGTCCGCAAAATGAATAGAGGAAATGGGAGAAATATGCATCCTTAAAAGCTGCCCACTTTATCCCTTGCTGAAATATTGATGGAGATGGACGTTTTACTGGGGAGGACTTTTTAAATGCTTCAAAAGGAAAGTTTGAAACAGAAAAAGTTCAAAACAAGAGCCGTCAGAAGGCATGCAACAACATTTGGGATCCCTGGTTTTCTGAGGAGCAATGGGTTTGCTTGTAGTCAGGCTAAATTTACCATCCCTTGATGGGAGCGCGGGGCAGATTTGAAAGAGAGGTTTTGTTCCGCGTTTGTCTCTGAACTCAACGCGCGGGCGGTATAATTCGGAGCTCAGAGAGTGGATATGGCTTATTTGGGGGAAGACGCGGACATTGTTTCAACCGGATATGGGGGTTTGGTGGACATTTTGGGAACTGCTATCCCAGATCTTTATTTATCACAAAACCTGACTGTGGCATTTGTCTGCTTTTCATATTCATTTACCTCCCGATAGGAGAAAGTAGAGGGCAAGGGGGGAAATTAAAAAATATATATTAGGGTTGAATAAGCCAGTAATTTAGATACGTTTTTGGATGCAGGCGGCTGTGGAGCTGGTCGTTTTGCTTGTGCCTGGGGTTATTGTGAATATAATCTTGTAGATTCACTCTGTGAGTTGTTCGTTTATTGGTTTCTTTGTTTCCCCTTTTTAGGATAGTTACTGGACACCACAGACAGCCAAGGAAGTTTTGCTATTTATATTCAAATCTGAACCCCCATCTCTGGTGCCTGTAGCTAAAGGAGAACCCCCGCTATTCATGCTTCCCTCCCAAATTTGGATTAACCTAGTTCTCCAGTTTATCTACTGTAGAAAAAAAAACTATGATCAATGATCTAATTTCATCCCTGGTCATTTGTGCCAACTACACAATCCCAGGTATTGCTGATTCAGAACTAATATCCTTTAAATT